CTTTTTTAGGAATTGTTATTCTAACTGCAATCAATTCACGAAAATCTCAAAGAGATTATTGGTCGACTGATCCTTTCTTACACTGTGAAGTTATCAAATCTGCAATGTCACGTGATGATTTTGAACGAATTAAATCGAAACTTAAATTTTCAAAATCGAAAGATAAAGATGATAATGACAGGGGATGGCGAATTCGTGCGATTCTCGAAATGTTTCGAAAAAATATTCAGAGTTATGGGTATTTTCAAACTGCAATCTCTGTAGACGAAACAATGGTTAAGTCTTATGCTCGAACAAGTATGAAGCAATTCATTAGAGGGAAACCAATCAGATTTGGATTGAAATTTTGGGCTCTCTGTACTCAAAATGGATTTCTATTAATAATAATAATGTGTTGCCCAGTATTCGATCCAAACGATGGACATGGGTTGTTTTTGTAAAACAACACAAAACAGTAAACAAAGACAAACAAAAAAAGTGTTCTTCAAAACACTGTTCTATTAGAACTTACAAGTTTTGCAAAACCTGTGAAAAATACTTTTGCAAACAGTGCTTTAGTCAGTTGCACTAGAGACAAACAGATAGAAACAATTTAAAAATACATTTAAAACTATAAAAAAAATTAAAAACAAAAAAGTAAAAAAAAAATTAAAAATTAAAAAAAAAATTAAAAAGTAAAAAAAAATTAAAAACCTGAAAAAATAAAAAAAAAACAAAAAAGACTCTTAATTTTGTCTACCTTCACGTGGTTAGAGTCGGTTAACGTTCATAAAAAACGGCTAAAGACAAAAAAATTGATTTTCATAAGGTTTTGTCCGCCATATTGAATCCGCCATTTTGAATTTTGAAAATCTTACTTCAGATTCGTAATCAGAGACCCCAAAAATCCCCGTATAACAAGTTTCAACAGATTTCAATAAATTTAAAAAAATTTGGCCGCCATTTTGAATTTTGAAAATCTAACTTCAAATTCGTAATCAGCGACCCCAAAAACCCTCGAATAACAAATTTCAACAGATTTCAATAAATTTGTCCGCCATATTGAATCCGCCATTTTGAATTTTGAAAATCTAACTTCAGATTCGTAATCAGAGACCCCAAAAACCCCAGAGTAAGAAAATTTAGTCGAATTCGAAGACATTTTGGCTATTTGAAAAGTATGTGCATGAACTTAAAAATTTTGCAATGGATTTGACGCCATATTAGGTCCGCCATCTTGAAATTTTTTATTCTGACCTACGTATCTTTAAAGTGTATAACTTTTATGCACTTTTGGTTAAAAGCAAAGTTATATACGCAAACTGTCAATGGGTGAAAAAAAATGTCAAAATTGAAAAATTGAAATTTTTTTTTGGTTTTTTCACATAAAAACCGCCATATTTAATTTTGGTATGAAAAAAAATGATTTTTGACTTCAGAATCGAAAAGAGCACATTCAAGACCTAAAGAAAATGTACCTCCGGTAAAAAATATTATTTAGTTTGATGATAAAAACATAGCTTGAAAATGAACACAAAATTTTTCAGTTTCAGGCGTTAATGGGATATTTTGTTACCACATGCCGAGTATTAAACTGCAACGCTGCTGCTATGACACGAGTGTGATACTCATTTCGATAAGCGAAATTTAGCATTAAGTAGCTTAGCACCAATTTTTTCTGCCACAATTGCATTAGCTGATTCTACTAAATTTGTATCATAGTTTAGCAGTAAACTATAACAATGGCGACTCCAGCGGAATATAGATTCTTCAATTTCATCCACGAATGCCCACTTATTTAAAGATGGCACTAGGTTTTCCTCATTTTCGTCAGAAGCACCGTCACACAATGGGTGTTTTGAAGCACATTCGCTGTGATTCCCAAATATATGCCTGGGAATAATGAGAATGGCTTCTTCCAGCTCATTACACATTTCATCATCTATTTCTCCCCCCACCCTAAATTTAAAGGTTAAGATCGTTTTAAGACTCTGAATATAGTCGCAAGTCCCCCCCTCCCTTCTCTTCTACCCCCCTTCTCTTGACTTGTGGTTATATTCAGAGTCTTGGAACAGCGGCGGTGGCGGCGTTGGTGGCGATATCTTTTTGCACCCAGAGAAATGTTTTATTTGAATTAAATAAAATATATTTGACTTAAATAAAAATGGATATTTGTCTCAGAGCCTACTAAAGTTTTCTTTGTCTCAAATAAATTTTTATATTTAAATTTGAGACAAATATATTTTATATTTAGGACAAATAAATAAAAAGTTTTGAATGTAATATATTTAATTGCAAAATTGCCTGGTATTCGGCCAAATATTCTGGAATTGATATAATTAAAATTTATGATTCAAATTGAAAATCTTAAATTTTTACATTTCGTGGATATTTTTTTGTATGTTCCGTGGATATTGTTGAAACATAACAATTTCCATTTCTCTGTGTCAATGATAAGTTGATTTGAATTCTGTTTCACATTTGAGACACAACAGGGAGAAAGGCACTCAAAATAAAAGGAAAGTGTGATTTAATTCATAAACACTTGCGAATAAAAACATTTCTTTAATTATCCTGAAATTAGTATTTGTTTTAATTTTAATCAAATAATAATCAATCCTTGTACAAACAACTGCTTGATCGCGTTAATCTGTCACCTCGTTTTCACTACGTCCGACATCTTTAAAGTTATATCGTCTACAGTATTCTGCGCATGCTTGCGTTGAACTCGAATGAACTTTTATTTGAATTAAATATATTATTTATTTGCCACAAATGTACCTTTTTAAAAAGTACTAATAAAATTGTTTATTTGTAAGAAACATATACGACAATTTCAAACAAACATTTATTTATTTCATTTAAATAAAATATTTATTTGAAATAAATAAAAATGATTTAAATATACGTTTTTATTCAAAACTAATAAATTTTTTCTCTGGGTGTGTAATATACTAGGGGGGTATGCCCCCTGCGCGCTTCGCGCGCCAACCCCCATTCCCTCCTCTCTTCCCTTCCCCCACCCTAAATTTAAAGGTTAAGATCGTTTCAAGACTCTGAATATAGCCGTAAGTCACCCCCTCCCTTTTCTTCTACCCCCCTTCTCTTGACTTGCGGCTATATTCAGAGTATTGGAACAGCGGCGGCAGCGGCTTCGCGCGCCAACCCCCATCCCCCCTCCACTCTTCCCCTCCCCCACCCTAAATTTAAAGGTTAAGATCGTTTCAAGACTCTGAATATAGCCGCAAGTCCCCCCCTCCCTTCTCTCCAACCCCCCTTCTCTTGACTTGCGGCTATATTCAGAGTCTTGGAACAGCGGCGTTGGCGGCGATATCTTTTTGTATATATATATATATATATATATATATATATATATATATATATATATATATATATATATATATATATATATATATATATATATATATATCATATATCAACTCTGCAATAAAATTATAAACCAAAATATTGGTTATATGGGGAAAGCAACGCTAGTATAACATTGTTAGAACAACTATTTATTTGGAATTTAATTATAAAATTGTAACATTCATGTAACAATGTTGCATTATTTATTTTATTTAAACTTAATTTTGGACTTGTAACATTTATGTAACAGTGTTACTTTATTAATTTTATTAAAAATTTAATTATGGGGATAAAATTGTAACATTGTTGTAACAATGTTACATTACTAATTTTTGGGAATTTAGTTTTAATGTAGGTTGTAACATTGATGCATCAATGTTGCACTATTGATTTTCTTTGGTTATGATGTTTGTAGCATTGATGTAACAATGTTACATTTGTAATATTAAGGACGTTTAAAATAATATATGTACCCAGCAAACACGTTATGTATCAGCTACATAACAAATAGGTCATATTGTTATGTCACTCTGTAACATTATTTTAATGTAATCATTATATAATGAGAATGAAACGCTGTGTTATAATTCTGTTATTCTATGGTGATATAATTGTTACCTAATTTGTATACGTATATGTTATATAACAATATGATATATTTATTACATCACAACCCACGTGAAAAAGTTCCCGGGAGACTCCCGGGAATTTCTCAGAAAAAATTCCCGCAAACTTTGTGAGGGTAATAATTTTCGAAATAAAAAAAAATAAATCGATAATTACCTGCATGTCCTCCTGCCAAGAGAGGAACGATTCGCAGCTCACAAAATTTTCTTATTTTCAACAATAATCTCTTAAGGACCCAAAAATATCTCTTAACAATCTTAACTAAAAATTCCCAAAATTTGTCATAACAATCATAACCTTAAATTTCATTAATTGCTGAACAAAATTCCATAAAAAATTCTCCAATGAGACCTGGTTCCTCTAGTCAGTGCGTGTGTGTGATTAATAATTTTTCATATATAATAATTTTGACACATTATTTTATTATCAAATCAATTATTTTCATTTATTATAATTTCTAGAATTGACATATAAAAATCCTTGCTGAAGACAAAGTTTTATTTTTACAATTGTTCTCAATTTTTAAACGACGATAATTAACAAAAAAAGATTAATTAATAGAATTGGCTCATAATAACTCAAAATTTTAATTTACATTAATTAATTAAGACTTTAATAATTTTCTGAATAAATTTACATTAAAGTAAAAATATTGGCTCTTAATAGCCGATGAATACTCCATGACTGCAAGAAAAAAAAAATCGGAAAGAACTTGTCGAGAAGCGACATAACCAAATTTTTATCTGAAACAACAAAATCGCGAATTTCGTAATAAAATTCTCAAATTTTTACTCATAATTTTTCGAAATATTTTACTGAATTTAAATTTTACTGAATAATCAAGGTTATCTTAATAATTTGCCGAAACACTCGAGAGAAAATTCGTCCCACAACATGTGCTCGAGTTCGCCATTTTTTTATTTTCTAATTTTCAAAGTTAATTAATTTTTATTTTTCACTTTTTGGCCGAACTCGTATATTTTACAAAGAATCATGTTTTTAATTTTTAAGAAAGTTTAGCTTACCTCGATATCAATTTACAATTTATTGGAGCATCTATAAAAATCTGCCAATAATTGTTTTAATTTTTTCCGATAAATCGATCAATCTAACAGACAGCACGATGTATAATGGGACTCGTCTTCCCTCTCAATTTTTCTAACCACAAAATTACAAAAATTACAAGAAAACAGAGGGGAAACGTCGTGAGTGTCGTCCTCGGTCTATACCGTTGTCCTTCGACGCTGATTGGCTGATGTGTTTTCCTCGACTTCCAGAATAGTTACGTAGTTAGTCCAAGTTCAAATTTCACTTAATTTGAATTAACAATCAATCCAATTGACTTAGAGAATTTCCATTATCTTCTTGAATAAAATATTCATGGCGACTCAACGTAATTTATAGGTATTTGATTTTAGCCAGGATCAGCAAATTCATCAAAATAATTATAATTGGCCTCGCGGTAATTTTTCAACCTCCTTCCAAGATCGTGAAGGCGGACCCGTCAGAAATTTTACAGCGCCAAGATGGTGTAGCGGCTACCGGCAATAATTCAACAAGTGTGCCCAGGTGGCAACCAAAACAAACAACATAACCCCAATTCTGTTCGTAATAGCAGAACAGCAATTTTTGTTAGTTTATTTTTTTCTTTCGTAACAAGGTTGTTCCTCACGATAATCCATCGAAATTCATGGACCCCACGATGTCGGAACGGCTTAACAATTCGTAACAAAGTGTCGTTCCTCACGATTACCCCTCGAAAATCAGGGATCTCTCGGTTTCGGAGCGGCAATAAGTTGGTGTTCGATCCTTCCTTTGACTTATCTCAACAGTTCGGAGATCTCCTCGTCGGCGAAGGTGAACAGGGTATCGTAACAATATTTTCATAACAATGACGGTCCTAATCCTTTCATAATTCTTGACAGGTTTCTTGTGATGTAGCTGAGTGACAATTTCTTTTTAAATGAACAAGGACTTGTAGTTTGAAATCGAGAATGGACAGATGTCATCTACGTTGGCTGGATCTTCTGGTTTCCCGCTCGGATATATACATAAAAAAATAAAGAAAAACGGCAATATCGCAACTAAAATTATTTGACATTTCTCGCAAAATTCAGTCATGGAGTGTCGCTTTTTCGCCGAATCGTGCTGTCGTATTTTTTTTTTTTAATTTCTGATTCTCTACAACTTGTAAGTATTTTGTATTAATAAGATTTTGTGACGTGCACAAATTGCAGCGTCACAACTTGTTAACCCTTACGTGAAGCATTGTAGGTGTCTCTGAAACAAAAAACTTTTGTTTAAGGCGTAAAAAATTTTTGTAAGTATTTAAAAAGTTTCATTTAACACTAGGAAGTACCCAGAAGCATATTTAAAGTTTAGGTTAATCATATTTTGCATGTTAATTACTTATAGGAACCTATTCAAGGTTTCAGTCTGAGATCCAGGTAATTAATCGACATTTTCTAATGTATTAAACTGAAAAAAAATCAATAGTCGATTACTAGGATCTCTCCAGGTACTTTTCTAAAAGTTAGTTAAATTTCGATAACTTCTTCGAGGAAGAAAACCCTAAAATATGAAAGACGATCGCTACAAGAGATTTCCAGGTACCTATGATTACTCAGGGTAATTTTTCGTCAACTTCTGGAACAAGTTAACCTTAAAACGTGATAAATGATCACTAGGAAGTTTCAAAATACTTTCCTAGTGTTCAGGTCGTTTTCATAAACTTTTTCAGGGAAGTTTATGTTAAACAGCTCAATCGTTTACGAGAAGCAATTATCATAGTACCTAAACTCAGTCAAAATCAAATATCTACAATTAACCTTCAAATATTTGCTCCTAGGTCAATTGATTTTTATCAACTGTCTCCGTCAAATTAAATATAAATCAGTTAATTATTTATTCCATGTAATTTCAAACAAAAAGTTTTTATCATAATTAAAATTTTTTCTTCTGATTATTTATTTATCAATTTATATTTATATTTTTAATTCTTGAAAAACAACTAAAATATCTTCAAAAATATAGTTGATTTTTAATTTTTATTAAACTTTTATGTACAGACATTTACTAAATTACAGAATAAAACATTTTGATTAATTTTTTTTAACTATAAAACATTCTCGAAGTATTAAACATAACATACAAAAATACCAACAAAATTGTCTGAATTTGAAATTTCATAACCTTAACTTTAAATATGCTTCTGGGTACTTCCTAGTGTTAAATGAAACTTTTTAAATACTTACAAAAATTTTTTACGCCTTAAACAAAAGTTTTTTGTTTCAGAGACACCTACAATGCTTCACGTAAGGGTTAACAATTTTCAATGGGGAAGGAAATTTAATTATGATATTGAATTTTTTTTATATTTAGCATTTATGTGGAAAATTAAATTTTAGTTGGAAATTGGACGCAAGTTTTTATGTAGGAAACTTTCAAATTTGGTAGGATTTTTACCAGAAATTTTTGTAAGATTTTATGTAGAAAATTTATATAGTAAATAGCACGTAAGTTTTTTTTATTGGAAATTTATTAATTTTAGGTAGATTTTCAACTGAGAATTTTTCTAAGATTTTTTGTAGAAAATTGACATGGGGAATTGACATAGGGAATTGACAAAGAAATTGACATAAATATTTGACAAAAAACATGTAAGAAATTACATAAGAATCCACATGGATTTCTATGTAGAGACAAAAACGTAAATTCTCATATGAAATCCTATTCATAATCGTGTCCCAATTTCACATAGGGGTTTTTATGGAATTCTATATGGATTCCTATAATCAAAATGGATTATCACATGAGTTTTGAATTAGGCTTCCATGTAGGAACCTTTGTGGGAATTTTCAGTAGGGATTCTTATTTTTGCTACGCTCATCATATTATGGTGGATGAAACTTAGTAAAAAAATTTTATTTTTATTATTATAAGTGATCCAAGATGCCAACACTATGTCGGCAGCTTTTTTAGCATTGTCATCTTCATAACCAGGATAAGAAATAAGTTGGTAACTGTAAAAGTTACTTTCCTCATCTGAGAACAAATCCAGAATATCTTTATTCATCTGTAGAAATTAAAATCATAAATTAAACAAAAAAAATCCGGCAGCCCCCTGCAGGGGCGGCCACATTCTCATCACGCGCTTCGCGCGTAGGGGCTCGCTTCGCTCGCTAGTTTGAGCGCGCCCCGGGGCGCGCGAAGGATGTTCGTCCCGCTTCGCGTGCATTGTTTAAGCATCGCGCTACGCGCTTTGTTTGTTTATTACAATTCAAAACCTAGTAGCATTAATTACTTTTTAACTACACTGTGTAATTCAAAAATTTTTCAATTACATTCAAAAATTGTATTAATTATACTACCAGAAAGTAGTTGAATGACCCAAGAATCCATTTGGTAGAATGAGATTTTGTAGTTGTTTCAGACTTTGTAGTTGATATAATTAATTTTGAAGTAAAATGTCAAGAAGAAAGAAATTATTTTTATTAATTTTATTAAAAAGAGTAAAATTAATTACACACAGAGTTAAAATAAGTACAAAAGTAGTTATTTTAAAAGGGGAGCTTCATATAATCGACTTGTTTTGAAAAATTTATTAGAAACAACTCATAGTCTTTATTAAAATGCGTTAAATTAAATTCTACAAATAGGTAAGTTTTAAAGGTATTAGAATACATTTTTTATCGAGCAAAAAAAAGAGAATAGCGGCAGTGCAGCTGTTCAAACTTAGTTCCTTAATTTTGCGCCGTTGATTGGCCAGGTCTTTGTAATTAACGAAAATCGACAAATCAAATTATTTACTAAAATAAGATATTCCGCTTTGAACTAATTTCAATTGAGTAAAAGAAAAAATTAATTGAAAATTTAAAAACATTAAAAAAAAGAACTTTAAAGTAAATGCATTTTTAAATCAGCAAATTTATTATATGAGGTTTTGCCCTCATGTTTTTATTCATAAAAATTTTTTTGTACAATTTATATAAGTGAAATTTTTGGTTTTTATAAATTAAATTTCATTTTCTTAAAGTACTTTGACTTTAAGGATAACATTCTCATCACGACACTCGCGTTTCACGCTCGAAAATTAGAAACATACAATAGGAAAAGTAGGCATGCATTAACCCATTAATAAAATTTTTACAGGTAATTTGAGGCTATATCAAATAGTGTACTAAAAGAACCGAAAAATTTTAAATAAACAATTTACAAGCATTAAAAAAAAGATTTGTTTAGAATTTTTGTTCAGTTTTTTTAATTTTTTCAAATCTTAACCCTTCAGAATACCTTTAAATGCTAAAAATATCGGGTCAAAAATGTTTCAATACGCCATTTTGAATATTTAAAAACTAACTTCAGAATCGTAATGAGCGAACTAAAAAACCAAGGAGTAGAAAGATTTATTTAAATTTGTTAAAAGATTGTTGAAAAATGAATTTTCTCTTAAAAAATAGCAATGTTTATACTTAGTTAATTTATAATTCTTTATAATTTTGCCTGCTACACTTATTATTTTTGTTTCACTTCACAATGCTTTCGTTATAGTGGAAAAAATGTTTTATGAATACTGCTTCAAAAACTTTAAATCTATAGAGAGGAAAGTTGCTAAAAGAAAAGGTGTCAAAATAGGTTAAAACTGTGCCGCAAAAAATTAATGAGTAAAATAACACATCGAAAAAAATTAAAAATTTTTGTTACCTTAAACGTAATAGAACATAACTTTTTTAACTTTTTTGTTTTAATCTGTATCGAAAAGGGTTAAAGAAAAAAAAGTTTACTTTTGGGAGTATTTTAAGAGAAAATTAAAAAAAAAAATTTTTCAAGAAGAATTGAATTTTTTAAAAATTTAAAATTTGAATAATTTTTGAATTTTTGGGCGGATTAGTCTGTCCAACGAACTCAGGCTTCATTTTTACATGTTGAAAGCGTGTACCAAATATCAAAGCGATTCGTTAAGATACGTTCAAGTTATCGTGGGGACAAAATGAGTCCACAGACAGACTACAGACAACAAACAGACGGACAGGATTTCAAAACATACTTTTTTGGCATCAAGAGGTCTCAAAACATACAGATTCACTAAAATTTGAAAAAAGTCAAAATCGACCAAAATGAATACTTTCTAACTTATGATGAGAATTTAAAAAATCTACAAATAAATGAATTTAAACCAATTCAAAAGTAAATAATCGAAAAAATACGAAATTGTGGTATAAACAACGCAATATAAACTATTTTAAAATAGAGGAATTTTTGAAAACAATGGCAATGTTTGGAAATGGAAAACAACAGTTGGAGTTATAAAAAAAAACGTCGAGATTCACTGGAATTAGAGAATGCTCAAAATCGCCCAAATGTAATTCCTTCTCATTGTGATGAGAATGTAAAAAAACCACTGCAAAGTTAAAGTTTACTTCCTAAACACTTGTAATAAAACCTTAGTCTTGAATTTTGAAACATACTTACAATTAGTTAAAAATTCCTGTATATAATCCTTAAAGGATTTCTAGAGGTTACTATATAGGATTCTTATAGGTTCCCTGAGGAATCCTGTTAAGAATTCTACACATGATCACACTAGGATCACTTGCAGGATATTGGAACAGGGGTGGGCTGTGGGCTCAAAACGGACTAAAAAAAAAGTTTCCACAGAAATATCATATAATTGTATTAAAAGTTTTTGGGGTCATTGAATCCAAAAAAGTCAGATATAAAAAAAATCTAAAATAGCGGACCTAATATGGCTACCCAATATGATGGAAAAATTTAAAATTGATTCCATTCATTCAAAATGCGGTGCTAGGGAGTTTTTGGGGTCGTTGAATCAAATTTGGGGATAGATTTAACAGATTCAAAATTTGGATTCATAGACGCCAAAAAACCACCAGTACCGAATTTTGAACGAATCGAATCAATTTTAAAATTTCCTCCATATTGGTTTGCAATTTTGAAATTTTTAAATTTTACCTCAAATTTGGATTCAGCGACCCCAAAAACTCCCGAGTACAAAATTTTAAACGAAACAAATCAATTTAAAATTATTCTTACATATTGGGTCCGCCATTTTGAAATTTTTTAATCTGAACTCAAATTCGGATTCAGCGAGTTAGTAATCGAAAACATAAGAAAATCTGGTA